ATAGATATTCCACGTAGCTTTAGTCAGCCTATGGGCCACAGTGTATATAAACCCTGCAGCTCTGCTGCCTAATGACAAGGGTCGTTTATACGAGCTTTACCAGTAGCTACAGCATTCAACCAATACAGGTGAGTTGTGTAGGGTGCACTATGCGTGCTGCTGCCTCCATAATTCTTCATCATGGGATACCTGGGAGAAGATGTATGATTGATGGGGCATACCTGGAGAGGTACCAGCGAATATTTGCAGGAAGATATTATGTATGGTTCATGTGGTGTAGCAACATCTTTGTGTTTTGGTGTCACATTTGCGGTGCATCTCTATATCTCCATGGATAGTGACTTAGATGGTGCGGAAATTGTTATGCCTTGATGGCATACCACTCTATACACTAGGGAGAGGCTGTGCGGACCATCAAACTCAGTGGCGGTGCCTGGGGAAAGGCTCCAGGAGGAACACCAGTGAAAAGCGGTAGCTATTTATCAAACAGTTAGATTCTCCCGCACTCTTGAGTAAACCTGTGGCTACATATTAGGTGACCAAACCTTTAAAGGGGTGTAGAGTTCTCACCAGTACTGGACCAGGAAATCACAAAATACTGTCCCAGAGCCGGTGGTAAGAACTTTTATTTCTGTGACCATATAGCTAAAACAAGCAGTTTATCCATGCCATTGATCCCTTTCTCACATTTTTATGCACTAATCCACAGTACCCCTGGGAATAAATCCTATATGGGTGCATAGCACATAAATGTGGTTTTAACGACTACCCTATCATATTTTGCTATTTTTAGTGGCTGATTACCTAATGTAAAGTGTGTATCAGCAGCATGCATACCCATCCATCAATATTTTATGATTTGTTCAGCATTTTTCCGAATTTAATTTTGCCCTCTGGAAGCTTTCAGAGCCATGATTCTATTAATAGCACTAATCACGCTTCGGCATCCTATCTACAGTACCAGCATTCCAGCCTGAATACCATCCATCCACAGTACCATCTACAGTACACTGCATTCAGCCCGGAAATGGAGTACAGTACCATTCACAGTCATCTACAGTACCAGCCATTATCAACCCATTGTAATACAGCACTGTATATCAAAGTCAGCCAGCAGCCAGTCCTTGTAATTACAGCTGATCTACAGTCGCTGGCCTAATGCACATGGGTTGTACAGTGTATCTCTTTGTACTGTATTACAATGGTGGGAACCACTGGTGAGGCTGGAGTCTATACCAGCTGGTGCAGGGTGAGGTGAACAGTGTATTTTTGAGGTGCAGTAATACTATTTCAGAAAATTATGGGCTGTGTGGCTGGAAATGTGGTCCACGTGATGGGTATAATTGTCTACTCTAGGGAGAGCTATTCACAACCACTTGAACCACTTTCCACTCCCCTGGGGGGTCCGCAGGAGGGGTACCACCCAAAAGCAGTATTTAATGATGCACTGCTTGGAATCTCTCGAAGTCTTATGTAAACCTGTAGATATATATGGGGTGAGTATTATCCCAAAACTTCAGGATGTAGCATATAGTATAAGTGTGGGAAAACACGAAATACTGTTTTGGAGCTGGTGATGAAAAAATTATTTTTAGAGCAATGGATAGCCACTAGGCTCTATGGATCACTGCCACATATCCCCCCTCCATGCATTGCCTGGGTCAGGTATTGCAAAGAAGAATCATAATAAATGGACCAGAGCCAGAAAGAGCATAGAAATTGGGTTCCAGAACTATGCCACACCACATATTGCCATATTTGGGTGTGTATTATGTAATATAGTGATGCCTTTAGTGCACAGGAACTATTAGCAGTAGTGATGAATGTTCCTGTATTTTTCCGCATTTCTTTCGATTTTCTATGAGCTGCCAAGCTGCAATCTGCCATGGTCCATATATACCCATCAGCTATTTATAGGACTAATATGTGGAGTCCGGAGAGCTCCTTGTTTCCAAACTGCGACAACGGCAGAATATTCCCATGCTTTAACATGGGCAAGGATGGATGATTCGTTGTCCTCGGGTGATCACCTGGCTCCCCCTACGCGATTTCTGTCCCCTACAATGATGCCCGGTGCTTTGCGAGCCTTAGGGATGCATCTTGGTCTCTACCACACCCCGAGAGACACAGATCCATATGATGTACAAACCCGTCATGTATAGTGCTCCCAAATTCATACCCGCACTTCCTCATCCTTCCTGTGACTACCTGCCTGTAAGGAAGCACCACAAGAGATCCCCGAGAGACCCAGGCACACGTCCATAATGCTCTCCTGCCCACATCCTCCCCCAAAGCCCAACCTATCTCAGTCCAGCCCTACAGATTTAAGGTTTGCCTATCTTGGAATCTCCTGAGAGCTACTGTATAGCACCACAGCCTACCTGCTGGGCAACAGCATCCTGAAATAACACCCTCTTCCATTCCCATCACCCACTGCATCACCGACAGAGCTTCTCAACGCCGAAATGCCTAGCAAGCCGAAGTCCCAGCAAAGTAATAAAGCTGCCACTCAAAGGGCACTGGCTGCACCTATCAGCACCCAACGCCGCTCTGGGCATACCAGCAAGGGGGGAGATCAGCTCAAACCCCCCACGGCCACTGCGCCAACAACTCCCATCCAAAAAACTAGTATGCACACCCTGCAGCCACTCCCAGCAGCCACTAACCAATAACCAACAGCCTTGGCACCCACACCGAATGACAACAGCGATGCTGTGACAGCTGGCATTGCCCTCCCCCCGACCCTCTTACGACCACTCCAGCACCTGGCCCAGTACAGGACACAGTTGCGGCATCAGAGCCCGACCCAGTCCAGGAAGCAGCTGCGGTAACAGAGTCCACCAGGCCAGCTCTATCGGGAGGCATCCCACCTGCCAACATGACCCAACTTGGTAAGCTTGCGTATGACTATGTGCCTGCCCGGCTAACCCACAGCTCGCTCTATCCAGATGCTGATGTGGTTGCAGAGCCCCTAGCCCTGGCACACCAACCCCACACAACCATGAATGCAATAGCGCCAACTGGACAGCCTGTGCTTGCCCCAACAAACGAGGGCACCCTGCCCGTGAAGGTCACAGCGGTGCAACCATTGCCAATGGTCACTGCCACGACCGCAGCACGGGGCAAAGCTTGCCCCCGTTGAACCCGCCATCACAGGTGATGACGCTGTGGCCCAGGCTGGAGCACTCGGCCCTCTAGCTGCCGCCAATGTTATGGCCGTGGAACATGACCTGGAGCCAGAGGCTGATGCCCGACCAGCTTCACCCCTAGCGAGGACCCCCTCACCCACCTGCGCTTCCCCCATTGAGATCGACGACGATGATGACGATGCAAACTTCATGGCACTCCAGCAAGGAGATGGACCTCTGGGAAGCCCCCGGGGAGAGCAGACGTGAAGCCATTTTCATTTTGTTGAACAGGTGGAGTCGGGCTTGCTGCGCGACGTGTGTCTTTGCACGGGTTAGCCTTTGACATGCGTCCGAGCACCTGGTGCTGCTGAGCCCTCTTTGCGGCCCCATCCAACTGCCCAGTATGACAACTTGCACCTGGACCAGCTAGCCAAATGGCTCATGATCAATCCCGGCTGGGGCATGAAGAAAGTCCTCCTGCACCCTCTAACTGCGACGCGCAGGTCCTGAGCCTCACCAACACGGCTATCAATGACGAGCTAATGAAGGTACTTGTCCAGCTGAACAGCGGCATAGCCAACCCATACAGTGCCAGCATCTGCATCTCACCGCCGAACCCTGAGGATCCCAACGTGCCAGCGCTGGGGGTATGGCTGGGACAGATCCCTGAAGCACTTGCAGCCAGGCTCTCGACTCAAAGCATCTGGAGCTTCACCAAAATCACCTTCACCCCCCTCGACCTCCTCGACCTTGATGACATTAGAGCTCCTGACCTTCTCATGTTACTCAAGAACTTCATCGACCACGCAACTGACAAAATAGTGCGGGATGCGATCATCTCCCGACTCAACGACCCCGATGTTGCCTGGCAAATCACAGGCCTCATCAGCGACGATCAGCCGTCAAATGACAACATGAACGTACTCGCGGGTGCAGCCGAAATCCTCGACCTGATCGAGGTGGAACACATTGAGGCGAAAGCTCAGGGGGGCACAAGAGCTCTGTTGTGGAAGGTGAAACTGCGTTACAACCCCTTCCACCACATCGAGATCTGGGTGTTCTTCCACAATCTCCTCGTGGGATTAAGCTACCCAACAAACATGGCAGGCATCGGGGAACCTTACTTCCCTCGCCCCTGCGCTATCTGCTCTTGTGTGTCACATATGCGGGGCCTCTGTACTCTACCCTCATTACCCGGCTGGAATGGGCCCACGACAGCTACGATCGGGCTCTCCTGCAACATGCCACGGAGAGGCACTCCTGCGTGGAACACACTGCTTGTGGCCTATGCCCCGCACCTAGCACGGGAATATGGTAAGGATGACTCGTGCTTGGATGAACCCTCGCTCAACTGCCAAAACACTCGACGTGATGGTCCTAGTCACTGCTGTGGCAACTAAAAGAATGGATTACTGCCCAGGTATGCCTTCCCATGCACGTAGCCTCTATCTATCACCTCACCTAACCCTAGAGAACTTTGTGCGGTAACTGCTGCGCTGCCGCGGCTTGATATACTGTCTGTCCTTACTGCTATCACATGTTCTGTTATATTCCCGCCCACCCTGGGGCTCTCTGCATTCTGTTTTGCTATTGTTCAAGTCCCTCATTACTACTGCCACCTTCCCCTGCCACCTCTTATGCCGTATGCACTGGCTGATAACTTACAAAATATATAATTGTTACCTGGCGATCCTGACACCCAACACAGTTGGTACTGTATGCTGCTAAATATTGACACCGTGCCCTCATTGCCATGCCCATCTGATGTTGTCGGGGTACCTATGGTGAGGTGACTTAGGTACTGTACCCTGCCCGCCCACATATACTGGTCGTATGCGAGACAGTAAAGCGGTGCAGGTCCCACCTCAACGCCTGGCAGTGCACCTACGGCGACCTATTTAGGTCCGGACATGCTGTGTGGAGACGCTGAAGCAATGGATAGTATCCCGTCCCGGTGACAGGGCATGGGGATGGGCGAACACCTGAGCATAGTCCACCGTGGTGGCCGGTTTGTCACCCTCTCATAGCTCATGGTCATATCCTATGGGCAGTAATGCGACACCAACTTCCTCTACAAATAACTCATCCAATCACTCTGGTTCTGTACATGGTCCTGGTTCTCACCTCCCTGCGAGCTGAGCGAGTGGTGCACCGACTGCCCAAAACCCTCGTGAGGATGCTTCTGCAGAGATTGGTGGCAGACCCACGCAAGCGGATAACTCGACCCAGGCCCGACAAGGGCCAGCTGGACAACAGCGCCCCAATGATCCCTCTGACCATGTGCCTGCTGCACCTAACACTAACCCACAGCCCCGAGGCATTAGCCGTAACACACAAGCCCACATTATGGTAGCCTCCCAGAATAGGCAAGGCCAGCACTCCCCCACCTTGGGTCACTCAGAAATATCAAAATGGACGAGCATCCCTGCCATGATGCATGATCAGTGCATCGGGATCCTTGCCCTCCAAGAGACCCACCTGAATGAGACAATGGTGGAGGACATCCATCAGCTCTATGGCCGATGCCTATAAGTCCACAACTCGCATGACCCAGACCGCGCAACAACCTCTGCAGTGGTAGCCTTTGTACTAAATTGTGAAATGACTAACACTGCGGATGCAAGCGTGACAGAGATCATCCCGGGACAGGCAGTTCTGCTGACTACAACGTGGCACAACTGCGATCGCCTATCCATCCTCAACATATATGCCCCTAATGATTATGGGGCACAACAGATCTTCTGGGAAACCTTGCGAGAACACTGGGAATCGAGCAACCTTCTCCGACCCGACTTTATGATGGGAGACTTCAACCTTGTTGAAGATCCCATAGACAGAAGCCCCCCGCACCGGGATCCAGATGTTGCCATGGAAGCACTGCTTGATGCAAGAATAGCACTTGGCCTGAACGATGCGTGGAGGGTGGACAACCTGGCAGAGTGAAGGTATACTTTCTATAGTAACCTCAACCATTTCTCTCGCATTGATCGCATCTATGCCCAGACACAACACCTCCCAAACCTGTTCAAGTGGTATATAGGACCATCCGTGGTCCTGACTGACCATAACATAGTATTTGTACAATTTGCCCCAGCAAACGCCCCTCACATCAGCCCAGGATGCTGGGCCTGGGCAGCAGGGTTGGTCCATGATAATGACCTGATCAACAAGACAATATAACTAGGAATAACCCTTGAAAGTCACATGAACGCACTACCTGCAAACTGCTTATCTAACCACAACCGCCAAACACTGTGGCACCAATACAAGACAGACAGCTGCAAGTTGGTGAAGAAACACGCCAAAGTAACATTTGCTAAGATCACCAACTGCATACGTGCCCTCCAGAAAGACCTAGACCAAACCTTAAATAATCCTGAGATGGACACATCCGCAGATACGAGATCAAACACTGTGATTCTTGAGAGTGCAATCAACCACCTAGCCAAGCGGTGTTTCGCCAAAGCGCAGGAGCACGGCAGGCCACAGTGGCAGACGAAGGGGGAACTCCCATCCAAATACCTGTCACAAGTAACCGCTCAGAAAAAACCGTGAGATGTCATACCTCAACTAACTATACCTGGATCTTCCCCCAAAGCATATGCCATCAGATAAGACAGCATGGCTGAACTGTCGAGAGACTATCACGATGCACTGCAACAAGCCGGTGATAGGCACAGACACACAACAACCTCCAGAGACCAAGGGGAAATAACCTAACACACCCAGCGGTATGGGTGGAGGCGGTCTGAGATGACTGAAGGGTATAAAGTAGTTTGAGGGGGAAAGGAGGAGTAAGACGACGTAGGGTAGTCCATAGGAAGACCTAGAGAAATAAAAAAAGCCTTGACACTGAAACAAACCCAAATCGAACCTCCGGAGTATGTATCTCTGAAGAATCCAAAATAAACCAAGGTCACAAGCACCGACACCTAGTGTAGGATCGTTGATAAGCCTCAGGATCATCTGACCCCCGAAAACGCAGAATCAGCACATCATACAAGCCCTCCGGAGCTTATTCGACACAGCGATCACATGCCTCTAGGCTTCTATGGACTCTAAAAGAATTTTTCTATTTAGCTCCGGACTTCCTAGCATCCCCGAGACGTACACAGACCCATTCCGCGATTTATCTCTGCAAACGCAAGCTCCGGAGCGACTTAACTAATGTGATTTCTAGATGAATTAGCTCTGGGGCCTGCGGACACTTCTATCGAGGGACGTCGTCCTCATGCCCACCCTCCAGCACTCATTTCCCCTCGTTTCCATCAAGATACCGAACGTGTGGACGTATACGAGTCACCATGAGGTCAGCATCAGTCAGCAAGCGGCTGGAGGTAATTAGCACGTGACCAGTGCATTGCACAGAGTGATGGGACTGCTTGGGGCAGGTGGCGGAGCATTGAGGTGACCTATAGGGGCTGGGATGAGCAAGTGGGAGTGCAAGGGAGTCGTATGGTGCATGGTATAACGGAAGCAAGTGCTGAGCAATCCTGTGGGTAGCGGTGTTTATTTGTTATTATCTCCGGACGATCACAAAGCCATTCCTGTAGTATAAATTGTACAAAGTAGCATACAGAAAAACAAGTTTTGCACTTCACCATCTCAGAGAATTAGCGTTACGATCTCAGCGACCCTCGAAGTTCGAAAGTGTCGAACTTAGTGAATTATAACCGATCCTAGCTTTGCCAATAGGCCTGACTCGTCGAGTGATTTATCTCCGCCATTGGTTTAATTATCTCCGGTGCGTCCTACATAGCAAAATAAAATTAACCCAGTCTCTCTAGCAATTTCTACCCCCGCGAGCACAATCCTATGACAGGTGTTGTTGCTTGCGACTTTGATTGCGGCTTTCCAGAGATAAATACTCTAGAGCATCAACTAGCACTTGTTTTATTTTTCTAGGTCTTCCTATGGACTACCCTACATCGTCTTACTCCTCCTTCCCCCTCGGACTATTAAAATACCGCTCAGTTGTCTCGGACCGCCTTCACCCATATCACAGGGTCTAGGTTTATTGTCTTTTGGTCCTTGGTGATTGTTGTGTGTCAGTGCATATCATTGTGCTCGCAGAATAGAAATTGCTAGAGAGATTTGGTTAATCTTATTTTGCTAAGTAATACTCACAGGAGCTAATATTTCGATGGCGGAGATAATTCAATCGACGAGTCGGGCCTCTCAAAGCTAGGATCAGTCATAAATTGCCAAGTTCTACACTTTCGAACTTTGAGGGTCACTGAGATAGTAAATCTGATATGCTGAGATGGTGAAGATCAAAACTTGATTTTACTTTTCTTTACATTCTACATTTTATACTACAGCAATGGCCCTGCGACTGCCCGGAGATGAATAATAAATACTCGCCACAACTCCCTCAACTGCTCAGCACCCGTCCGCCACTATACCATGCACCATACGACTACCTAGTCCCTCCATATGCTCGTCCTACCCCCCTAGAGGTTGTCCTGATATGTTCCTCAGCCTTCCCATCATGCTGCACAGCATGCCGGTCACATGCGAATTAACTCCCGCCATGGTTGTGGATTTATGCCTGCAAGCTCAGTAATGTGACGGAGACGAAGGGGAGGAAGTACTTATTGGAGGTAAAAAGTGCGCTGACTGGGGATTGAACCAAAACCTCCAGGTATGCATCCCTGCTAGTGGTGGTAACCACTTTGCTATTTTGGCTTCCTTTACCCTGGTGACTTAGCCCCTTTAACTCTGCGCTTTTCCCTTGCATTTCCCATACTGTACAGTTGGTTCCCACGCTCCCAGAAGAGCGAAAATGCGCTCCTGAGTCAAGCTCTCTTCCTTAGCATTAATAGAGCTTGACTCAGGTATGTCCCTCTGTATATTTCTGTACTTCCTTAGCATTAATAGAGCTTGACTCAGGCATCTCTGTGTGTATCTGGACGCCTGCCAGCTTCCCAGTTGGACAGGTTATGAGCCCAACGCTTTAGAGGCTCCAGATCGCACTTTTTGCCCGTCCTACAGCCTCTACAGCGCTCCTACTCGTATCAGAGCAAGATCTCAGCCTATCCAGCCCTCCATCTGCTCTCTGTCGCACTTTT